GAGTATAGAGTTTTCTCTTTAAGACTATTCTTGTGTGAAGTGACTTCACGTCATATAGTTTAATGAGGGTATCCCAAATCTCCTTTGCAGTAGTCTTCTCCGCATCATTGGATAAAATTGAATCTGTCATTGATAAGTGTAAATTTGCAATAGCATTATCGTTTATTTTTTTCCATTGTCATTCATCCGTGTGTTCCACGGTTCTTTCCACAATTGCATCAATACAATTGTTCTTCCTCAAAATTGCTTTTATCTTCAATTTTTACAATGAGAAATTACTCCCATTGAACTTCTCTATCTCATATTTTGTTGTCATGGTTCCAAAACCGACCTATGCAATCCTTACTATGAATAGTGTCTACTGGAAAAAAAACGGTAGATCGTGAACCAGTACACCAGGTAAGTTCCCAAGAAAGAGAGGTGAGTCATTAATGGACACGCTTAAATATCAAGTCTTTTCTTGTCAGAACTTTTCCTAGACATGCACTATCACACTACCAAATAATATCCAGTAACAAAAATAACTTTTTTCTGATGTGGAAGATCAGATTAATCGCAATCACACAACATACTAAGAATTTTCTCCAACACTATTCTAATGACTATGCAACAGAAGATAAATATCACAACCTAGTGGCGCTGATTCTACTGTTAGGTATCAGATAAAAGCATAAATACAAACAACTAAAATAAAAAGATGAGAAAAACATCGATAATAGGCAAAAGAGTAATTCCACTAATGAAAGAATTTACAAATTTTCTCTCTCTACCTCCAAGGAGGAAACAATAACACTCTCTCTTGAAAATAAAGGAAAAACAACTCTAAGAGAACCTAAAAGGAGAAACTATTTTTTTCATCTCTCAAGTGCTAAAGCAGCAAGAAAAAGAAAAGAAAGTGATTTTGGTGCATTTTACAAGGTAAATATTGTGCTCCTTTTATAATAAGAAAAAGAAACACCAAACTAAGATTTCCCTGATGTGAGACTTTTCTTCTCTCATTATGTGTATAGATACTGATTTGGGGACTCGAGAAAATATCCTTAGTTTTTTAATCACTGGAATCACATAGATGAAAGAATTAAGTGGTGAAAGTTAAAAAAGGTTTATAATGACTTAGTCCGCAGTGTGAAAAAAAAATTGTGTCTTGATTAGTCATATAGAAATTTATTCTAGTCTCATATGGGTGTACATACAAAATTAAGTACCCTTATGTTATGCACTTGGGAAGTTATGGGGTGATAGTAGCAGATCTCTAATGTTTATTTCAATATTTAGTCTTTTGAAAGTCATCTAATGTATGTGTGATGCGAATGTGATCATGTATGAGTGTGATGTACTATATGAAAGTTTGATGTTGAATTATGTCATTTTATCTCATATTTGAATGTTGCGTACTTAAATCAAATTACTAACCTGTATATTTTGTATATTGTTTTGAATTAGGATAATTGTGTATTTACATAAAAGCAAATGTTACATGTGATAAACCTTAATAAAAGTAGGGTTTAAATTAAGAGGAATATAAATTTATATTTTGTTTATTTTTAAAGTGATATATATATATATATATATATATATATATATATATATATATATATATATTCTATGTAGAGAAAAATTATATTTAAATTATTCTGTTAATTTTAATCATATATGATATGCATATTTGTAGACTCTTACAAATAATAAATTAATTTGATAATAAATTTACTTAATAATAAGAATAAATCTTTAAAATCTATTTATTATATGATAAAAAAATAATAAAGATGAAAAAATAAGTTTTAATTTTAACTTTAAAAATACATAAATATATATTTTAAATTTATATTTTAAATAATTGTATTTTAAATAAAAATAATTTTATTAATATAATTTAAATTTCAATAACAATTTTTTAAAATAAATTTGTATATAGAATTTTTTTTATGTTAAATAATCAAAATTTATTTATCAATCTATTAGGTTAAACTAAAAATTATCATTATTTTTTAAGAATCATATTTTTTTATTTAATCATTACCTTAATTTTTTTTTTAAACCACATGTAAATTTTTAAATTTGATTTTGTATCTTTTCTAATTATATTAATTAAAAAAATTCAACAAAATGGAATGTAATACATATATATTATCAATAATTTTAGAATTAAAATAATATATAATAAATAAATAAATAATTTTATTTATTTATTTATTTATTTTAATATTTATAAATCGAATTTAATGAAAATAAAATTATAAATATATAAATAATTTAAAATTTCGTGAAGATTTAACTCTTAAGATCCGCTGTAAGTGTGTGAGTACATCTCTTGACACATCATCCAAAAATCAGTATTTGTTTCTAATTGAAATTTGCGTGGATAAAAATAAAAATACTGTTAAAAGGAATATTATTGAACTATAATTGATTAAAAAAATTTATTATATAAATTAAATTAGACTTATTTTTTTAGATTTATTTAGATTATGATTTAAATTAATTAACTTAATTGTAAATTTATGGATAAATCCATTTATAAAATAATAAAAATAATTATTTTTAAATAAAAATTAAAATAATATTATTTTATTAATATATATATTATATAAATTAATTTAAAAAAATTCACTTATTTCAAGAAAAAATATTATAATAAATATCTAATAATCTCTTATTTCAATATTTAATAAATAAAATTAGTTATTATTTTTAATTAATAAATTATTAAAAAAATTAATTCTTATATTAATTAAATAGATATATTTTTTTATAATTTATTATATTTTAAATAAAATTTAATTTTATTAATAATATTTAAATTTTCAAAATATATTTTAATTTTTTATTTAAATATTTTTTTTAATTAATTGATTTTATATAAATATGTTAATATTTTTTAAAAATCAATTAAATCAAAATTAGTTCGTTAATTTAATATAAAAAATTAGATTAAATTAAAATTTTACTCTATTTTAAAATATAAGTTAGATTAAATAAATTTTTTTTTACCAGACTCAATTGTAGCACCTCTAATACCCTTTTATGTATTCAAAATTTTAAAAATATTATTTGGCCAAGGGTTTTTTTACGTAGATGACTAAATATCATATACAATCTATTTTCTTTCTACAAGATCCGTTTGCAATATTATAAAAATCAATACAAAATGAGGAAAACAATGGCATTGATAATTTGAAACAATTTTTTAAATAATATATTTTAAAAAAACTTATTTAAATAAAAAATATATAAATTTATTTAACTAAGTATATCTGATTATTGTTTATACACAAATTTTAATAATAAGAAATAAATTTGTCGGAAATAATATAGTTATTTTTTTTCTCATTTATTTTTTTTATCTCTCTGTATTTACTTCTTGTTATTCTTTCTTATCTAGTTTGTTTTCCATTTTCTCTTTCCTTTGTTACTCGTCTTATTCTTTAAATTATAAATACAAAATTAAAATTTGATAAAATGAATCTTCTATTATTTTTTAAGATAAAATAAAAATTAAATTATCTAAAAATACTATAATTTAATATATTATATTTAAAAATATTATACTATAAATTTGAGGTAATACAAATTATTATGTTATAATTATTAAGAAAAAAATTAAATATTTATCTTAAAGTAATTTTTTAATAACTTTTTTAAATTATCCAATATGACTAACCTTCATAATTTAACCTAATTATAATTAGATTAAATTACTAAATAAAAAATTGTATTTAACTCATAAATATTTCATTTTTTTAATTAGATGAGTAATTAGTTAATATTTTTTTAGTTTAAATATTAATTTAAAAATATTTTTATTAAATTTTAATATAATAGCTTAATTAGGAGAATAAATGGAAGAGAAGAGAGTAAAATCAGAGAAGTAAGATAGAAAAGAGAAAAATAAGGAGTGAATGAAAAATGAGAAAAATATAATCAAATTTTATAATTAATTATTTTTAAATAATTTAAAGTTAGACATCTTGAACTTTTAAGCTAAACATACACTCTAAACTGAGTGAATTTTTGGGTAGAAAAGAGAAGAAAGATAAGATAAAGAATGTGAAAAAATTAGATAAATATGACGATCCACTTTATTCTTTCCTGGTATTTGAATTTGATGCTATAACTCCTTTCCTTTTTTATATAAAAATAAAAACCTTATTCTGCTATCTCACGGGATTGAAAGGAATAATTTTATGATAACTTCAAATCACCAATATGCTTCTTTTGACATGCATATTGCATAGTACCACCAATTCACACCATTCATGTTAAAATATATATCTACAATTTTTTTTTATTTTATAATTTAATTAAACTAATGTATATAATGAATAAGTTGAGTTAATATTATCTTGTGTCTTGTATAATTTATTTGGTTCTAATCAAATTTGGATTTAGGAAAAATATCCTATCGAAATGTGAGACCGAAGAAGAACATTAGTAAAGCAGATTAAATTCTTCCACGACCATTCCTCCGGTGTAGGATCATGTGTGATCTTCTTTGTAAGCAACTAAAAACTACAAAACTGGCTCCATATGACCAAAACAATCAAAGTTTCATACAAATAAACCCATGAAGGCAAGGAAGGATCATATATACTAGAGGAATTGATTTGTCAATCGAAAGAGTAAATATTGATAATTTGGTCCAGCTAAAGCGAGATTAAGAATTTAAACCTTAATTTAGCTTAGAAGATATCGTACTTTTAACTCCACATTATTATGGAACACGAAGATCTTTGACAAAATGAGATTATTACCAGAATAAAACCAAGCCAAGTAGTAATCTTTCAGAAGTAATCAATTACTTAGGATAACGACTTCAACGATCAGAGATGCTTCAGAAATTTGGTCCCACAAGGTGGGAAGATACAGTGCCTTTCTCGGACAGATATTATATATATATATAATATGGCTTCGGTCTTGGACTTGTACTCAGAAAATTGCAGAAACCACTAACATAGACATAGTTTCTCTTTCTTGATTCCTTTTTCCTAGAGCAAGAAATGAAACCTCAAGCAGACCTTGCTAACATTGGCCAGCAGAAGAGTTTCTGGAACCTTTCATCAGAGCCTCAAGTTCTGTGTCAGTACAAATTTTATCCAACATATCTGACTGCTAAGGCTATCCAGATGAAAGTAGAGGACATCAAATGCAATGAAGCTGCTTCAAGATTCCCAGTTGAAAACAGAACAGAGTTGCAACAAAGAGGGTTGGTTGGCTGATGTGAGCATGAGTAGTATTGTTTTTTCCTCTTTCTTTTTTTTCATCTTCTTGCAAATGGTTAGTACTCAGTACTCCTCTTGTACCATATCAGTACAAGCTAAATTTTTAATGTATGAATCAGCTTGAAGATCCATTCACACAGGTCTTCAATACTATGCAGGAAAATGTATTAAACTCCCAAGGCTTTTGTTTTTGCTGCTAGTTATGTACAAATCAAAAGCCAATGCATTTATGCAAACTCCGATATGAGGAACTTTGAATTTCTAGATTTCTTTTGTAAACCTGGTAAAACCAAACCTTGGATAAGCTTTACAAACAGATTGGATTCAGAGTGTATACCTTGATATTCATATAATATATATGTCGTGTTTTATCAAATTGGTTCAGCTAAATCAATGGATGTTAAGTAGTAATCAATTCGTTTAACAAATAACTCTCATATAATATATATTAAAATCTATAGGTGATAGTTTAACCAGACCACTTTGAAATATTACTCGGTTATTAGCGTTATTTAATGTTAAATTTCTCGGTATGGATCTCCAATTTGTATATTAGTATGTCTTAAATAAAGTCTTTGACTAGAGATTACTAACTCATAATTTTTCAGGGTTTATGACCGAATTATATTTTCTTGCAACTTGTAATTTAAAAAAAATATATATATATTAATTTGTGTTAACATATTGGATTGGCTTTTCCATTTGTGGAAAAATCTATTTACTATTTTATTATTTTAATACATATCTATGATAAAAATAACAATTAATACAGGTATGTACTTTTATAACTAATCTGATACACATTTTGATATTATTTTATCCTTGATTTTAGTGATAAAACTTTTTTAGTATAATGTTTTTTTTTAATTGTATTTTGTTAACCTTTAAAAAAAGTGAACACATGCATTAATAATACAAAATAGAGCATAACATATACATCATTAAATATATCTTGTATAAGATAATAATGAACAGAAGATGATGATGACGATGAGTTTTGAGTGGGGATAATTTCAGTATAGCGAATAAAACTATTGGTGGATAAAAATGGTAGTAGTATTATATGTCCAAATATATGCGTTGTGAATTCAATTGGGTGCTGAAGGCATATATTTGTGCTGTTATGGAGAGAGCATATGATTTTGAACCAATTAATGAAGGGAGGAATTAAGTGATCTGTTTTTCCTTTTTGTTTTGTCCGTAGCTGCTGTTAGGATGTGGCAGCTAGTGAATCGTCCACTTTGGAACAACCTCGTCAACACCCATAAGCATCACTAAATTTAGCTTAACTAAATAAGCCAGAAATTAATCCGTTGATTTTGATGAACCATTTATTGTGCTAGAAGCATGTTATAAAACAGTGGCAAAGAAAGAACAATAATATTTCCCCACTCATATCCTAGCCTCCCCAAGGAGGCCCTAAGCTCCAAATTTGAAGAGTGTGACAAAGAAGGGAAATCAAATTTTGGGGGCATTAAGGCGCAATGGCCATTGCAAAGAGCGCTGTCATTCTTATTTTGTTCTTTGCATTGGCCTGCATTGAGGCTACAGTTCCAAAAGTACCACGAATTGCTGGTCCTGACATGTTCAGGAACAAAAATGTGGCTAAGGATGTGCTCCTTCCTGGTGAGAAAATAGTTAGCGTCATGGATTTTGGAGCCAAAGCTGATGGCAAGTTCGACTGCACCCAGGTAAATAAATTCTAGCACCAGGGCCTTTTTTTTCTTTTATAAGCCAATTGAATACCGAAGATTGATTTTTAACTCACATTGTGGATACGAGTTTGATTCTTAGTCATCAAGGCAGTATTAGGACAACCTTTGTTGACAAGACACCTTATGCATCTTTTGTCGAATAATGTGGTCTTAATTTAAATCCATGCTAGTCTTATAGATAGATTGGTCATACGTTAAATACATATGAATGCAGGCTTTCATGTCTGCATGGCAAAAGGTGTGCCATCAATCCACTGGGCCAACCAGGCTTTTGATTCCTCCAGGCAGGTTCTTGGTTTCATCAATGTTTTTCAGTGGACCATGCAGTATTCCAAGTCCAGTAACAATTCAAGTGCAAGGGTATGTTATGGCTACCACCGATATTTCGGAATATGAAAACGGTGACTGGCTCATATTCGAGAAACACAATGGCTTGAAAATTATAGGCGGTGGCACTTTCGATGGCCAGGGTAAAAAGTCATGGGAATACTCCCAGAATTGCGAATCAGCCGCTGATGGTACTTGCGCCAGGAATCCAAGCGTAAGCTATAACACATGTCATTAACGTATCATGATTGTAATTATATGTGCATGCATGACATGGTTAATACTTGGCTAGCAAATAATAATACTATATTTGATTAATTAAGCTCACATGTCTGTGTTTTATGGGAGAATGCAGAGCCTTTTCGTCAGTGATAGTAGTAACGTGGTTATACAGGGCATCAGATCTGTGAACCCCAAAGGCTTTCACGTATTCATTACCAAATGTACAAACGTCAGATTGAGAAAACTTAAGCTGCTTGCACCCGCAACCAGCCCCAACACTGATGGAATTCATGTCAGCCATTCCAACATTGTTCTAATGTCCAAAAACACCATTGCAACTGGGGATGATTGCATCTCTATGATACAAGGAGTCAAAAATGTTTTCATCAACAGACTCAAGTGTGGCCCTGGACACGGTATAAGGTAATTCCAGATACATATAAGTTGTCAAATGTTTCCTTCTCTTCCTATAAGTCATCAATTAATTTTGGCACATGCCTGACAATATCTATATGATGCAGTATCGGTAGTCTTGGAAAATATCAGGATGAGGACGAGGTGAGAGGCATTCGCATCAAGAATTGCTCATTGATCGGCACAACCAATGGCCTCAGAGTCAAAGCATGGCCTGATAGATATGCAGGTGCAGCCTCAGATATAAGCTTCAGTGACATTATCATGGAAAAAGTAAAAAACCCTATCATCATTGACCAAGAGTATGAATGTGATCCAGGCTGCAAAAAGAAGGTAAAATTAATTGGTTTGTTTTTCTTTTTGCTTTCACTTCTTTCTTTGACATAAACATGGGCTATAAAATGGTTTAGCCTTATTTATTAGTTTATTTTCTTTTACAAGAGCTTGTATATATGCTAATTGTTGCATTGATTTATTTGTCTATGTACAGCCATCACTTGTAAAGATAAAAAATGTTCATTTCCAAAACGTGAGAGGAACTACAACTTCACCACTTGCAGTGGACTTAAGGTGCAGCAAGCTGTTCGGGTGTCAAGGTGTTACAGTTAGAGACATTGACCTGAAGTTTGGAGATGCCCCAACCACGTCAAGATGTGTCAATACTCATCCCATCTTTGGTGGCTTGCTAATGCCTCCACCTTGCGCATAGGTGCCATGCCTTATTCTATCACATGATCAAAAATGGAAGTTTACATATGCTCTATTGGGGAAAATATTAATGTTTTTTGAAGAATAATATTGTTTTCATTCACAGTTTATTAATTAACTAAATAAAGTTAAAACGCCCTCAATGCATCCTTCGCTTGCATTCTGATTTCCTTATCTTCTCCTCTCATTTAAACACAGTATTCATTGGCATTGGCACTGTGGAAGTATGATGGAGTTATATATATATATACTATCTCGTTAGTCGTTACTAATGACATTTGCTTTCACGTTCCAATGAACTTTTCATTGCTTATTCGTTTTGTAAGATATTCAAATTTTTCAAACCAATTTCGGAAGGAGACATAACTAAGATATTTGAACAAGTTTTAGACCAGGAAAAGTCAGAAAATGAATGGAAAATCATTCAAATAACAGTTTATCTACGAACCAAATGAAGAAAAAAGGTTAATCAACTTTGCTGCTGAAGTCTTGATTTTATTATTATATATTATCAATTCTTTGCTTTCTGCGTGCTATCTGCAGTTCCCTATCCCCTAACTAAGGGGAAAAGGCCACTTTATGCTTCTATGTATTTCTTTATAAAAATAATGATAAAAGTGATTGTTTTACATATTATATTACCAACCAGCATATCAGAGTTTAACAGACACTGAATAGGTAGAACACAGAATTTAATCTTCCCCAAAAATTTGTCTGACATCGAATCGATGGAGATCTCAACACTAACCAATTTTGGTTTACAAGTCAGGAATATCCAACTACAAGCACTTTGGTTAAGCACTGTCACTCACATTACATATTACAATTAGAAGCATGAGTGATTCAAAGGTTTTTTGTTTTTTCTATGATCACGGCCCATTGCTTCTTTTGTGAGACAGGATATCTTTGCATATATATAAGAAAATAAAAAATACAAAAAGTTGTTGAATGAGATGAAAAGCAAGTAAACAGCAATAAAATAAACATAAAAGACTGTTCTTGATCAAAATGAAAAGATTGTATCCTATAGCGTTGATTGCGTCACCAATTCACCACCCCTTTCGGTTAATTTTCTCCTCAACTCATAAACAGAAACCATAAACTGTTCCAACTCACGTTCACTCATCTGATCAATGGGGTCCTCCCACCACCTTCTGTTCCACCCTTTAACCAAAGCTTCAGTTTCTCTCAGATTCTTCTTTTCCGCCTCCAAATTCTTCATTGCCTCCTCGTATTTCCTGTTACACTCTTCATACGACACTGATCTCTCTCTCCACTCCGATGGTTCAAACACTTGGGCTCCTTTCACGTAGCTTTCAACAACGCCCTCCATGTCTGGGTGGCCGAAGCAGAACAATTTTCCTGCAGGAGAAAACACAATGATGGCTACACTGACATCGCAAAGAACGCATAATTCACTCGCTTTCTTGAACAGCCCCACTCTCCTTTTCGAGAATGTCACTTGCTTGTTGCTAGACTTCTCGATCTTCTTTATCTCAATCTTCTTCCGCCCTGCCTTTTTCTTCTGTTGCTTAAACGCATCCATGTCTGAAGGAAAATTGGACTTGTCCATGACTAAAGAAAAATGAGGGTTACCCATGGGTAAAGGAAAACGAGGGTTATCCATGCCTGAAGGAATATGAGGGTTATCCATGCCTAGAGGAACACCAGGATTATCCATCTCCAAAAAGAATGCTTTGCTTCAAACTTTTGATGCATATTTATAATGGAAGATGCACGGTTGATTTATCTTTTCTTGCAAGAAAATCTTACGATTACTTCTTGTCTTAGATTATATTATATGTTTATAATTTGCAATTGGTAATTATGATCCAACGTTGATTTGTCCTCGTAATCCTATAATTACGCTCTTCTTGGATTATAAATCAATTAAGTAATTTCCCTGAAAAATAACTAGGTATAGATTTTCCCTGAAAAAATATATATCAATACGGTTTCAGTTAATAATGAGGTTCTATTTTGGAAGAAAATATATTTGTGATTATGGAAAACAAGTTCTCATTCCAATCTTTTTCCCCCTTCTATACGGCACGTTACAGTTATTTAGTCAACAAGATTATATTTAATAATTTACAGTATTCTCGTTCAGTTAGTATCTTAAGAGTACACCATCTTGCTAATAAAAATAATAAGAAATATATGTTTTTTCATAATCATGTGTCAATATAGACCATTGTTTCAACAACAACAACATTAAATTGGAAACATATAATTTGATAGAATAATATTGACCAATAGGACGACATTAATGTGATACGTCTAATCTGTGATTTTCTCAATATATTATATGTATGATTGATTAATTGGAATTTGTTAAATTTTCATATCAAGTTTTCCGTTCACTAGCATCGATCAATTTAAATATTTTCTTGAAAAAATATGATATAAATCATTCTTTCACATGATATTAATTACGTTAAATTATAAACGATATGTAATCATTTTATTTCATATTATATAAATATATATATATATATATATATATATATATATATATATTATGCTTGTAATTCATTAAAATTTATCATTATGTTAATTAAGGTAATTACATTCATTATATACATAAAAACCTTTCCTTTTTTTTATATCCTTCCATTATTACATAATACAGGTGACAGTCAACTTGACGATAATTAAGATTTGTTGGATCAAATCTACTTCCACCATCGATTGGTGGCATTAAAAAATAATACAAATAACAATATAATATTTTAAATTAATAATTTGTCTTAATTATTAAAATTATAATAAAATAAATTGTAAAAATGAAAATTAATTTTATATTTTGAGAGAGTGATAGTTTTTATTATATATATATATATATATATAAAGTTATATTTTAAAAACATATTTATAAATATATAATTTATAATATATTTATGAAAATACATTTGTGAAATTAAAATATAGTATTTAAATATATTTAAGATATATTAATATAAAAACTATAAATTATAAACTCAATAATCAGTTGACTATACAATATGTAGTTATTTCACATCAAATACCAGTTAGATTATCTTGATTTTACAATAGTACTACATAATTGATATTAATAACTATAATTAAATTAAAAAAAATTGCATCATTTATTATATTTATACACGTAGATTAAGAAGTGATACATGGATTGAATAATTAATCATTTATGTTAATAACCATTTAAAACTCAGATATTTCTTAAATATTGATAATTTTAAATAAAATATGGTTTATATTTGTAAATTCCAATTTTTATGAGTAATTATCTCTTCATACATTGTTTATATATATAAAAAAAAGATAATTAAATTATAATTTAATGGCTTGCAATAATCAGAGTACTAATAAAAATATGATAAAATAGCATTGTTCTTATAAGATCGAACTTTAATCTTGTTTTTGGTTCCTTTCTTTTATCCAAGTGTCTGTTTGACTATCTTAGGAGGCGAGTTATCGAATCTAGTTGTGAGTGGCATGGATACCGGTAATGATACTCCATCACTCAAGTTAATTATCTAAGAATTATTTAATAAGATTTTCTTAGAGATAAAATAATCATGTCTTTCTCATTTGACTCACAAATTTTTATACGTGAAATTGTACTCAGAGTTAGTATAAATATTATTTCAAAATAGATTATTACATTAAAACAATTATTATTTTCGAATAACTTTACATTAATCTAAAATTATATGATAATAAATTAATACATTAAAATTCATATAATATATACTTTATAAATATATATATATATATATATATATATATATATATATTGCAAGACTAATTAATTACTTGACTTCATTTAAAGGGGAAAAGGACAGAAGATATCAGATTAACTGCAGAAGTTAATTAGTTCATCTAAAAAAATACAATTGAGGTTAAGAAAGTTTAACAAAAAAGTAAGCATTGTAAGAGTTAAAATCATCTTTTTGGCTTATTTGTTAGTATAATAGTTGTAAATATTTTAAATTTCATTGATGACTTCACTGGTTTTAACAGTTAATAATTGGTTAATTATAATAGAAAATAGGAAACAAATACTAATATGTTATTTATTTATATTTATATACTTCAAACTAACAACGCTGCAAATACAAGCCAAAACATATTTTACTCATGAGACTTAAAGAGGTCATTCAATTTATCTTAACTATTAATTTAATAATTTAAAAATTAGACTAAATCCAACTGCACACATTAGACATTACACACTTACATGATGGTTGGTATAAACTCACTCATATGTCTATCTATATCTACGTATATTTTGTAAGTAATTACTTAAGATCAGTTGAAATAATATTATTTATTTTAATAACATACTAATTTTTTTATTTTAAATTGTTTTTTACTATATTTTCATATAAAATATTTGAATATTATTTAATTATTTTTGTATAAGGTTAACTATCATTATTTTAAAATATAAATGATTATAATGGATAATCAAAAATGATTTTACTATCCATTTATTTTATATTGATTTGAGAAATAGAGATCTATTTACCTTTGTTAAACAAAAATCAACTTAAAAATATTGTACACCAAATTGACAAATTAAAATTTGTAATAAATATTTTTTTCTATTATCATGTTTTATATAGATTTGATGAAAAATAAATCAAATATTAAAGGTTTATATTAATTTACTTCTTCTGTTTTTTAAATATGTTTTAAAATTATTATTTTTTGAATGGTTTTAACTATTATTATCTTATAAAACAATGTAATTATCGTACATTTAGTATCTTAAGAATACACCACATTGTTAATGAAAATAATAAGAAATCATTTTTTTAATAATCATGTTTTAATATAGACTATATTTTCAATAGCAACATCAAATTATAATTTGGTAGTATAATATAGGCGAATAGGACGACATTAATGTGATACGTCTAATCTATGATATTCTTAATATATCATATATGATTGATTTATTGAAATTTGTTATATTTTCAAACAAAGTTTTTCGTCCACTAGCATGGATCAATTCAATAATATGTATATATATATATATATATATATATATATATATATATATATATATATATATATATATATATATATATATATATATATATATATATTATCATTTCATTATTACGAGATACAGTCAATTTCTCAGGAATTAATATTTGTTGGGATCAAATTATTGGTGGCATTAAACAATACTAATGTATCAATTAATTAAAATAAATTATTTAAAAATAAAATAAATATTTTATTAAAATGTATAAATAAATTGTTTAAAATTTGATAAAGTTGTTTAAAATTTAAAGATTTTTTTTATAAAAATAATTTCAAAGAGAGTTACGATAAATAATTAAAAAAAACATTTTATTATAGGTTCATTGATGAATTATTTTAAATTTTAACAAATTAGTTAAAATTAGAAAAATTACTCATATAAATAGTTTTAACTAAACAAATTCACATGTAAAGTTTATAATAAAATATTTTATTTTTTATTTTTAAGTAACTCTTTATTAACAATTTTCTTTGAAAATGTCTTCATACAAATACAAATTTGACATATTCAAACAACAATCAAAAAATTCTCAAACTTAACTAAAATTCTCTCTCACACACTCTCTCTCTCTCTCTCTCTCTCTCTCATATATATATATATATATATATATATATATATATATATATATATATATTTATAAATATATAGTTTACTGTAACAAGTCCCACATTGGGAAGGTCTCCTTACTAGGGAGGCCTTATAAGATAGGAGGTTCTCCAATCTCTTGAGGTAGCTTTTGAGGGATGGTTCCCCTCCACTACAAGAAAAATGGGATTTTCTGACGGACAAAATCCGTCGGTAACTAAGAAAATCCGTCGGTAAATACATATTACCGACGGATTATCGACGGATAGAAATCTGTCGGTAATTGTGTTGTCGGTAAATATTACCGACGGATTTTAAAAGTCCGTCGGTAATTACCGACGGATATATCCGTCGGTAACTGTTGTAGGTAATTACCGACGGATATATCCATCGGTAAGTGTTGTAGGTAATTACCGACGAATATATCCGTCGGAAAGCGTTATAGGTAATTACCGACGGATAAATCCGTCGGAAGACATTGCATGTAATTACCGACGGATATATCCGTCGGTAATCGATATAGGTAATTACCGACGGAAAATCCGTCGGTAAGTGTTGTAGGTAATTATCGACGGATATATCTGTCGGAAATATCCGTCGATAATATCGTAATTTCTTCCAGGTTTCATTTCATTTTTCAGAAAACCAATTTCCCTGCATAATACCATACATTTTATATCACAGGCAACAACAACCACAGTTCAACTATTTCAGATCAAATTCAACTTAAATATAAGACAAATAACCTCAATTGAAATCAAACATAATTAAAATAATCTCAATGTAAACAAATGACATATAGTTCAAACTATCTACAATAAAACTTAATGTGTAAGAGTAACTATGATTATAAAGTAGAATAATGTCAAATACAATATTATTTGAAAAAGTATCTAATAATGCGAATAATCAGGAGACTCTTGCCCTTGTTGTTCTGGGTTTTGTTGTTGTTCTGCATTGTGTTGTTGTTCTGCGTGGTCCTGTTGTTCTTGATTGTGTTCTTGTTGTTGAGATTGTTGTTGCTGACTATCCTACTGGCTGTTTTGGCGCTGCTGAAT